CAGAGGTCTTATTAAATCACACCACATTTAATCAGTACGTTGAGTGAATAGCGGAAATACCGTCTAGATTAAGAAAATTCGAAGCTTTTCTAGACCTTATCTAATGAAATTTTCAATAACTTATAAATCATATTAACATGTTTAAGTGTAAACTTTTTTTTTTAGACCTTGTTTACTGAGAAATATTACAATCTGTCTCAAAGGATATTTATAATAGTGTTCAGAGATCACATTCACACTCTATGTACAATAAAAAAACTAAATTAAACAGAAAAAAATATATATATTTATACAATAAATAAGAATAAAGTAATTTAAAAAAAAAGAAAAGAACACATACCTATGTATAGGCATACCTATATACAATCTTTACAATCAGGCGAGACTTGTTCCTCCAACTGTGGAGAGAAAAGCTTAACTGCAGGAGATCCCTGCACCGTTCTCTCAACCGCGTCACTAGGGCTAAACCGAGTGATGATTGAGCGAGAACGCTTTGACCACGTACACTCATGTCGTGAGTGGAGAATCTGGCCATTTCCAAAACTCCAATATAAGTGTAAACTAAATAGATTGAGAGTATGAAATCATAATTCTCTTTCCCATACCTGAGAAAATGGCGTAGTTATACACTTTATATGAAGGAGATAATTTCATAAAGCACTATTATAATTAATTTACCACTCGGCGAAGGAAACTAGATTATTTTTCAGATGGAGTAAGCTTAATTTTTCTGTCTTTACACTCTTCCTCTGCCCAGTCCAAATCAACAGTTTTATAACAGTATTTTATCTAGTAAATTTAAAAATAGATTTAAAAATACATTTAACATAAACTCATTTTATTGAATAAATTAAGGATTCATAATGAATAAATTAAATTTTATTTAATATAAAAATATTACGTCATTCGAGATTTGTCACCCCCAAAGTTCTAGTGCTTGTAAAAAGTACACATTTTAGCCTCCTTCCAGTTAATAAAAAAGAATATAAAAAACTGTAAACCAAATAATTATTCAATTATTAATAATCATTAGTTCCTGTTAAATTGTAAATAATAAATTAGTTTATAATTACAGCCAGGGGTGCCCATCCCTATCCCATAAGGTCAATGGCGCAAGAACATACCGGTCCCCCTCCTCCCAAGATATTTTATTACTAACCTTTTCTTGAAAACAGACCAAGCTAATGGAGGATTAGAAAAATCTTAGATCATATACAATTACACTTGCTGCGGTCTGTTCTATATTTCCCCCATGTCCCTTAGTCCGAAAATTCATCCTTCGAAATTTGTCTCCCCCCCCCCGTCTGGACATCACTGATTACGGTTTAAATTAATTGTTGTACATAACAAGAAACATATTTTAAATTAATGTTTTACTTATTTTTCAGCCATAATGACGAGTAAAGAAAAGATATATTATATTTTCACTTTAAAAAAATCAAAACTTAGGGACTAAATAAAAATCTTGCAAGCCTAAATTATAATCAATTTCAATCCTTGTGTTCTTGGGTCACCTTCTGTCAGAACAAACAAAACTCTGATCGGTTGTCAGTGTAAAAAAAAAATCATTTTTTTTTTTATTTAAAATTTCTTTTAACTTAAGATTTTTTGAAGAAAACAAAATTTTATTTAGTAAATGTTTTTGTATGCAATTAAAAGATGAGTTTACAACATATATTACTTGTCACCCACATGTGGTTTAAAAAAAGTTTTATTTATCAGTCAGTTTAATGAATGAATAATTATTTTGTGACCTATGTAATAAATTTATAAAAATTTCAACCCCTGAATAAATGAATTAGGCAGTTTTGATGGAGAAGAAATTTGTGTGAAAATTTCATCTCCAGCACTAATATTTGTCAAATAAATACGCCAAGATGAAACGTACTTTTATATTTTTTTATTTAAATCAATAAAACTATTATTACTCTCCCGCAATTCGTATTTTCGTGTATGAATCAGTAAACGATATTATCTCAATAAATTTCGCCTTTACTTGAAATACCTTTGAATGTTCGTCTTAAATAATTCTACAAACTTTTGTATAGAGAGAATAATTACCTAATAGTTGTTCTTGATAATAATATCTCAGTATTAAATGATGGTCATGATGTTATTTTAATTGACACGAAAAGGTCAAGAACCATCCCCGCGAGACTACGTCTGCTTTTCTTATCACATTCCCCAGCTCGGATGACAGTCTACCATGTATGTTGAAACGTCTGCAGCAAATGTACAAAACAAAATAATAGATTTCCGGTTGCAAGAAATAAAATAAAAAAACAAAACAACTTACTTTGGCCAGAGACGAAAGGTTTATTGTGTCAAGAGGAGGCAATAGTAACCGCCTAAAACGATTAGTGGGTATTTTTTACTTGAATATCACCAGTTACTTTTTTTGTCACCTATTTAGACCTGTTACACATTTTTCAAATACATGTGATTAAATAAATTATTACGATTTTGCTAACCAGGTTATAAGCTAAATAATAAACGTATTGTTTTATTAAGAGTGTGAAATTAAAAAAAAAATAATAATGTAATGAAGGGCAACAAAATTATGATCAATAAATGAGTATTACATAGAAAAAGAAAATGTTCTCGAGAACATTACATATTATATTATAGACAATGAAAAACTTTTGGTCTCTTGAAGATTAATATTGTTAAATATTCAGAATATTTGTTTTTCTCAAAGTTAACCTATTTTGTTTTTATATATTGTCTAATATTAATCTTCAATAAAATATTTATTCATTTATGACATATGATTTCTTAATAATAGCTGTAGTTTTATTAAAAGTTACTGTTAATAAAAGTGACTGGCGTTACTTAAGTAAAAAAGAACCATTTTTTTTTTTTATACACGTGAAGTTTATAACATTTTTAGCTGAAACCTTCAAATTTAACATAATTCATTGTCATTAACAAATAGCATCCAACCAGCCAACCTGTTTTTTTCTTGTTTTTTTTTTTTTATTAGAATGAAAAATTATCAATTATTCGTAGTAAATTTATGGTTATTATATTTACTTTCACTTACCTTTATATGAAATTATAAAAAAGAAAAGTATTACGATCGTGAAAATTTTTGAATCTCAATTTTCAACGGAGCTACACATTTTTTCCGAGTCCTAAGTCCAAATAATAGTCTCCAAATCGAAAAGTCGTACTAATTTCATATTTAAGGTTTTTGTATGAATGGGATGTTGCAGCAACTTTTTCTTTAAGATCGGCTAATCAGAAGTGGGACTTTATATCATCGATTTAACACATTTTTACGATTTTCACGAAAACGACTCCAACGATTTTGATTAAATTCATTATTTCAGTGTAAAATTAGGCAGTTTTTAATATAATGTATGTTTTATTCTCATTGATGTTCTCTAACAGGGCTTAAATGGCTAATTTCCAATATTAGTTTCCCCTAAAGTATATTTAATTTTATTTATTTGAAACAATTAACTATTTCACATTGATCTCTGATATAAAAAAAAATATTTAATTTTGTTTAATTTATTTTTTTACTGGCTAATAAATAATTAAGAATCAATGTAGCACGGTTTAAAGAAAATATATTTTAAAAATAAATTGGTTTATATCACTCGTGAAGAATCTAAAAGTAGGTATCTAATTATTATATTGTAAATGAAGAAAAAAAGTTGTTCCTTTAATCCAGGTCCATCTTCCCGTTTGAAGGAATATAATCATCAAACATTTCTTGCTCTTCTGCTCGTTTTACTTTGTCTTTGTCAAGATCTGTTGCCAATTTTTGGTTGACCATACAATTGAGCTTGATTGCCATTAAGTAAGAAGAAAGAAAGAACTAAAAATCAAGGAAAAATCAATCGATTTTTATTTTTTTTAAATAAAGTTCCAAATATATATTAGTTTTTCGTGAAGTTTTTCAAAAAAAGTATATTTGAAATATGTTGTAGATAAAAATAAATTTTCAATGAAATGTTCCTTTAAAAAATAATTAAAATGACTAATAATAAAATTTTCTCGATCGATTCACCTTAAGTATAAGGTATATATAGGTATGCATAGTATATAATTCACAGTCAGTGAATCTAGACTTAAATTCTTTTTTTCTTTTTTTTACTAGGAATAGTTTATTTATTTACAATTATTTAACAACAAAAATCTACAAATTCCTATCATTATTCATTGACTACAATATAGTAATAACATGTCCTCTTTGTCTTGTGGTATGAGGATTTTCACTTGCTCAGTAATGTATGTTTCTTAAAATAAATAAGCTATTCCTGGTTAAAATTGTTTTACCACCTTCAGTTCATTTCCTCAGCCCATCGCAGGCACGTAAGATCCCGTATGTGGGATAGGCTGTAAATTAATCTAGTCCACAAAACCTTAAAAGTTTCTTTCTTGCACAGTTTAATAACTTTTTAATTTTGTTACTTTTTTCCCTCCTTATATCCAACATGCTTTTCTTCTACGCGTATTTCCTCTTTTCAAAATAATCTTACAACACCTTATCATAACTAGTAAAGACAGTGCCTATCTATGCAATATTTGTTTTTTTTTTTTTATGTAATTACATGAATTAACTTTAGGACTTGCTATGCCATTCTCCTTGTCCCTGACTACTATAATTAACATCATTTTTAATGATCTCCTCGATTTCATAACAATTTGATTCTGTAATGACATAATTTTCATCTAGAAATATGTAGACAACCTTATCAAAGATAACGTCAAGTGACAGCTGATGTAATGGATACTAAAATTTGTTAACTCTTGTTCATCATAATTTTGTCTATATTATACTTAAGTTTATTTCTCCGTTTATATGTTCGACGAAGCATTTTTTTTTTTTCACGCTGACGTCTAGCATCCTGTTTCTGACTATTAGATAACAGGAATTAACTTTATTTAATGTTTCTTGTAACTATTTATCGATACGATTGATAACATATTTTCAAGCTCTAATTTCTCTGCAAATACTCTGTATAATTGAATAATTTTATCCATTTCAGGTAAGAAATGGAGATCTCTCACACCACAAGACAGGCGACCGTTTGTTGAAGAAGCAGAAAGATTACGGGTGATGCATATGCAAGAACACCCTAACTACAAGTATAGACCAAGGTACTTAATATAAAATGATATCTCTTTCTATAACTGTCATTATTACTACAGTACCTTCGTGGGAGTATCATTATCTTGCTGAATGGCAAAATGTTAAAGTTTGAACCGTTGAAATAGGTTGAAAATATTTATTACAAAAAAAATCTATCGTAATGTATTTATATAAATATACATTTTCTATTAATAAAGATCTGTTATCCGTCACATCTTGCAGAAAAGCTTTCGTAAGCTGTATGTTATTGAGATAATTGTAATGAGTAGTATTTCAGTCTTGCCAGATCTAATTGGTTTGCATTTCAATCAAAACCTCGAACCTCTTCGGTCATTTGTTATAAATTAGGGAGTTGCTAGTCACTACCATGGCATTACATGTAGATGACAAGGGATGTACATGACAATTGCATTCCTCTTGCAGACGGAGGAAGCAAACAAAAAGATCAGGAGGAGGGAGCAGCCCTAGCAGAGCAGAACTTCCTTACACCTATTACAGTCCGACGCCGGATTCGAGTCCTGATTGCAGCCCTCGGCTCCAGGAAGAGAGAAAAGACGACATGGAGCCACAACCAAGCGGTAGTAGCCAGGATCAGGCTTACTACAGGTCAGTATCCTTTTTTCAATCAATATCTATATATAAATATATATATATATATATATATATATCTTTTATACTCACTCCGGGTAATAATCCGGGAGCCCGTGGCAAAAAAGGTGTCATATCTCATGCTAAGCTTTGTCCTTACCAATTGATCATATCCACAGGCCTAATGAAAAAAATGCACGTCTGCCAGCTTATAGCCGCTGGAATACAAAATGGCGATCATGCAAAGTAGATAGAGACCCTACACAGGATGTAAGCGTATACATTGATAGGGCTTATAGATATATAAAGTTACAGTCTTAAGAGATGAAATAATAGTCAGTTACCCCGTACCCGTGGATTTCAAGTCGAAAAATTTAATTTACGATTCAAAAAGTTCACTTTTTTCAGTTTTTCGCTTATATCAGTGAAACTATCCGTTCTGTATACAATAATGTCATGTGTGAAGTTAATGTTGACAAAATTTTCAATAGAGATAATTATATTAATTTTTTCGCTAAATTCTATATTTGCCGTGATATCCGTCCTCATAAATCACTAATTTCGAAAAAAAAAAAAAAAATGTTTGCATCACATTTTTATCATTATTTGACTCGCCAACTCTTTATCTTTTCATTTTATGAAAAAGTCACGAAGAAGAAAGTTGTTCAATATTAAATTTTCTGTAAGAATATATATTATTTTACTACCTTATCTTCAACCATTCAAAAACTAGAGCAATTATAATTTAATGATTAAACTCTGAAACTATGACGATTAACTTACTTTTCCTTATTATAAAGCTCTTAATCTGTATATAAGACAGTAGATGTATTTATATTACATAAGCCAATGTATACACATGTATTTTGTCTTATATACAGATTAAGAGCTGTGTAATTTCAAAAATTACGAAAGTAAGTTTTTCTGTTTAGTTTCGGAGTTTAATCATTATATAATTGTTTTAGTTTTTTCATAAAATGAAAAGATTAAGAGTTGGCAAGTCAAATAATGGTAAAAACGCAAACTTTTTTTTTCTCGAAATTAACGAATTACGAGAACGGATATCACGGATAATATAGAATTTAGGGAAAAAATTAATATAATTATTTCTATTGGAAATTTTTTCAACTTTAATTTTACATATGACATTATTCTAGATTGAACGCATAGATTCACTGATATAAGCGAAGAACTGAAAAAAGTGAACATTTTGAATCGTAAATTAAATTTTTCGACTTGAAATCCACGCGTATGGAGTAACTGACTATTATTTCATCTCTTAAGAGTGTAAATAATATAAAATAAAAAGGTTGGCAGCTTTATATATCTATAATCCCTCTCTATATATAGGCTTACATCCTATGTAGGGTCTCTATCTATCTTTACATGATCGCAATTTTGTATTCCAACGGCTATATGCTGGCAGACGTGCATTTTTCTCATCAGGCCTGAGGATATGATCAATTTATAAGGACAAATCATAGTATGAAATGTGACACCTTTATTGCCACGTGCTCCAGGACTCTCCCCACCCCCTCCCAAGAACTTTTATTGCTCTTCCTTCCTCTAAAACATTGCAAGTAAAAGACAAATAATAGATCATAAATGATTACACTTGCTGTCTGTTCCATGATTTTCCCTTTGTTCTTTGGCTTGAAAGTTTTCCAAATTGAAAATCGAGAAAAATATGAGGAAACTTGCGCCATTCTTCTTGGCATCCTTAATCCAGTTTCTGATCTCGATGTTAGTTGTCACCATTATTTAATCGATTAAATTGTCAGGATTTTGCAGGACGCATTTTGATGTTCACGCACAGATCAGTGATGAGTGATAAATTGGTTTATTGCTAAAAGACTCCAGGTACATTTTTGATGGAGATGAACATTTAAAAACGTTTTTGTGAATTTCGAACTTATTTATCGTTAAAAAAAAAAAAATTAAAATGAAACAAACCTTTTTCATATATCAAACATAGTCACAATAAGTGCACAATATTCTGATTTCACATGGTGAAAATACAATCCGAAATTCTTAGCGATTTAAGGTTATGAAATGTCACTTAATGATTTTTTGCAATAAGCCGACGACATATTTAGTACTTTAAGCGTCAAACAATGAATTTCGATCCATATTATTCTGTGACATAAGTAGTAAGCATACTTTTCATACAATACTAATCATAAGAATTCTATAAATAATTTAAGATAATTTTTTTGTTACAGGTACCAAACCTACAGACCATATAATTATCCACAAAATAATACAATTTCGGCGATGGGGGTTGCCAAAGGTGAGTTTTCTTTCTTTTTTATATATGCAGGTTGAATCGAGAGGAATTGGTCTAATGGCCTGGAATGGGTTGCTTATAGGAAAATAGTTTTAAAAAACTTCTATGTTCTTATCCTATTTTCATTTCTCTAAATTTTATTAACCAAAATAAATAATATTTCATACATTTATAAGCATTTCGGTCATTAAAGTCTTATTTTAATGAATCTTCGTACATACTACAATTGACTTCTAAACATTTTCGCCCCACCTGATTGTTTCATATCTTCCTTTAATGACGCCTGCAGCATTTTTAATACTTTGAATTAGTGCATCTCCAGTGTCTTTTACTTTTACCTTGTGTACTCCATCTTTGAACCAGTCTCATAAATAGTAATCTAGTACTCTGAAGTCAGGAGATCTTGGAGGCCAAATAATTAAACCACCGGGAACAATCCAACTATCTGGAAACCTTTCATCCAAATATTGCCTCGCCTAACAAGCGAGATGAAGGTGAGCTCCGTGAGTTACTTGGATGAAGGTGAGCTAGTTCTTCTATGTCTTGGCGAGTAGATCGTTCGGATGTTACAGCACTGGGAACGTCCCGCTCTCGAATAGTTTATTGAACAATCTTAAACATTTTTGCCGATTTTCCTCAGCAGCAGGTGTAGTATTGTAAAAACCGTATATTGTTTACATGTAACTAGGTAATAACATCTAAACAAATGAAAAAGGATAAGAACACATACCGTAAGATGGGTTATCTTTGGGACAGCTGGTAACTGTGTTGGTTCAGTCCGCAAAAACGTGTTTTGTGCAGGCATGTACTGCGCTACCATCTTGCGGCAGTTTGAGAATACTAGTTCACTACACTCGATGTGCAATTAGGTTTTATTTATTTCCATTGCTTTTTTTAAAATTTGTGTTTTCATGAAACTTTCACCTGTGCTTCAAGAGTATGAATGAATGAAAATAATTTTATTATACTGGGGCTAGTGTCCTTTCAGAACAAGTTACAAATACAGAATATATATTAATATTTTGGTGTGTCCATAAAATACAGTTTAATATTTACAGGTTGATTAAGAATACAATAAAGTTATAAATAATAAAAAGATATAAATACGTGTAAATATAAAATATACAGAGAGAGTAATTAAGTAAACGAAATATCGATGAATCACAAAGTAATCAGAGTATCTGGGCGTACTTTGAGGTTTTTACAGCTTAGGTTTTTAAGTGCATTTCGTGATCAATCGGATTGAGAATGGAGTAGGTGTTTGAATAGGAGAGATTTGAAAGAGGAATTGATTTTGCGTGTCGAATATCTGAAGGTATAGAGTTCCAGAGTGAGACAACTTGTATTAAAAAGGATTTATCGAACGCAGCAGTTCGGTGAGGAGGAGGATAGAGGTCGGACGCACGGGATCTGGTGGGACGGGATTGAAAGGAGCGTTTGAATTGTAGGATCTGTAGAATATAGGCAGGTCGCCGTGTTCTAACGGCTTGGTATAGGAAGGTAGTTTGCCTCAAAGTAGTTGCGCTGTCCATGCTGACTGAACCAACACAGTGTATCCACCGCGGAATCACCACAAACTAAATTTTACCCGCTGTCCCAAAGTTATCCACCCAGTCCTAAAGTTACTCCGTCTTATTGTCAGTTTTTAAAAATGATTTTTCTTTCTGCATTCCTGGAGTTTGGCCCGTTCCTCCCGACTCATCCGATATAATTATATAATATTATAATTATGGATTCGGATGACATGAATGATATTTTTTTGGTTAGGAATGGTGATGATGTGCACTAACCAACGATTGTTGGGTACTTACGAGCATTCTGGAATCGTGACGGGGACGTTCTACCCACCGATAGCCACCAGCCAGGACCAGCAGAGCCTCGGACCTTCCAACAGCCTCTACACCAGCCCGGCCAGGCCCACCTACCCCTCATATCATCAATACCGCCATGAATATCAACAAGGTAATTATAATGATAATTATAAATATAATAATAATAATAAACAAGATAATAATAAATAGACAAGGAATGGATCATTACAAAAAAAATATTTTATAACATATCTTTGGCTTGGCATAGCGAGCCTACCCAGTCTTCAAGACATGAGTTACAAAAATACAAAAAAAAAAAAAAAAACGTATTTTACACAAGCAAAATATTGGTGTTAGAAAAAGTTGACTGATAATCTAGAAGATACATTGGCGTTAGGATATGTTAAATATGAAGATACATTTAACAGAAATATTGTTTTATTTCAGTCATTTATTTTTTTTTTCGTATGCAAGACCGTTTCATTTTGATTTTTTGTTCTATTCACCCAGAATATATTGTTATTTATTCTTTTTTTTTTTAATGAACAATATATTTTTTTTTAGTTTAGTTTGTTAATATTTTTTTGTGGACATACTTCTAATACCAATGTCAAATACATCACTGTATAATCTTATGAGAGTATGATTTGCATATCTATAAGTTGATTATAGATTGATTATTTATCATGAGCAATGATAAATAACCAATCTATAAAGATGAAGACAATCCTCTTACACAATTATACATTTATTTTTATGATCCATCTCTGGTATATTTATTATCATTGTTCGATATTATTCTTGTTGAATGTGGTCACAACAGAGAGAAACGCTTTATTATCATAAAGGGTTGCTTCTCAGCTATATTGGGTTGCTACATACACAGCATACTAATAAATCTATTTGACATTCTTTAAAACTTATACATTAATATATAGCACCATTTAAATATATATATAAATATTGTAAACATGTATATTTTATTCGTTCATTCATTTTTGTTTTGTTTTATACATATGTCTTTAATTTTTTTTTAAACCTAATGCTTACTATCTCTAATTTATAACATAAACTGAGATTCATCAAATAACGAACACGCTAAAATGTTTAAAATTACATATAATAATAACCATAAAAATAAGTAAATAGAAGACAGTCTAACATTGCACATGCAACTAAAATTAAATAAAACTGTTAAAAGTATATTATAAATTTACAGTTTTAATAATACCCATAGTTTATAAATAATATTTTGTTAAATGTTGCTTAATAGATTAATTTCAATTTTCTGATCCTCAAACAACATATATATCATAAATTAATATCCCTCTTATGCTTATAATTAATATAATTCACAGCATTTAGTCGCATTTTGATTTTTACAGAGTAAATTATCCAGCCATATACTATTATTTTATTATATTATATTATAAAATCAAAAGTAATAAGTTGTTAGGAGTATATATATATATATATATATATATATATATATATATATATATATATATATATATATAGAGAGAGAGAGAGAGAGAGAGAGAGAGAGATAATAGTTTATTACCTATATTATAATATCATATATTAGTTGGTACATCACACATTATGCTTTATATAAGTATTTGAATGCTTACTAAATTCCCTACAAAAAGTAAAAATCATCAAAATCGGACGATTTGGTGCAGTTATTGCGTTCTGAACATTTAGTATTCGTTGTACTGCAAAGATTCTGTTGCATATGGGAATTTAAGATTTTGGGAACTGGCCCTTTTTTTACTGAGGTACAACAGTATGTAATGCATCAATTAGTAATTATTCTTTTAATTTCAAAACATTTTTTTAATTAATTAAATTATTAATTATATTTTTATTTATATAAATGAGTCTTCCTTAAAATACTTTTTAGGATGTTCAATATGCTTCAATCACTTAATTTTTTTCTTTTAGATCTTTATTATTGAATTATATCATTTTATACACTTTCGCTTCTTTTTTTTTTTTTTTTTTAATGATAAAGGAACGTTACATACATCCTGAGTGCACTAACTATTTCTCCCTGAGAATTTGAGCCTTTTGTCTTTTGCCATCATCAGATGTTTGAAGCAATTTTTAGAAGATTTTGTTAGTTTATGGTGATCTAATGAAGGAAAAAGCTAATATTTAAATTATAAGTTTAAGGAAACTCAATGGTTAAACCATGGCAGATTGTAAATCATATTTATAACTGATGGCTTAGTAAATATATGTATCAGACCTTTTCTTATCAAACATTATTGGATGCAAGTTGTGCTGAGCCCTTAATGTATTAAAATCAGACACAAATATGAGGTTTGTGCGGAGTATTGTCAAAGGGTCAGCTAGTTTCTTTGAATTGCCATTTTTTTACATTCTACCTAAGTACTATGCGAATTATTCGCACGTTCCAACTTTTAAAATAATTATTATCTATAAAGTTTATTGAACTTTTTGTTAGTTGAGCAGAAAGCGCCATTCTGTCCTACTTCCGGCGCCAATGGTTAGGCGCTATATTGTGCAAACAATAACAAACTAATTGAACGGCGATTTGTATTATGGACGGATCCGTTGTTTATTAATTTCTGAGAGTCTCCTCTCGAATACTCTTCCCCCAATACCCCGTATATTTATTGCCTGTGAAACTTTATAAGTCTCTAAAATTGTCGTGGTCTTAAATGATTGTAAAAAAAAAAAAATATTTCGAAAACTTCGAGAGCAGTTTCTTAAAGGTATAATGGAAATGGCAAGTTGTCTTCTCCTTTTTCTATCTTTTTTTTTTTTTTTTTTTAATTGACAAATGTTATTCTCAAATATTCTTTTAACAATGGGACCAATTCCCATGACGTACATCCGGTATCTGACGTAACCAGTGAGGTTAGACCTGGTCTTTGGCATAGTTAAAACTGATGTTAACTCGATATTTGGACATTTACTAATGGCGACAATTATTCTCACTTTTATATCTTTTCCTTGGAATTTAAATAATAATTATATCGTTGGATCGTTCAGTCATTTATGGAAAGGACAGTGATATTTACAAAATATTGTCAAATAAATGGATGACCTGATAATGGAGTTTAAATCTCTAATATGTCTCAAATCTCTCTCTCTCTCTGTAATTATCTGTATTTCAACTTAGGAGAATTTGGTAATGTAATTGAAATGATTCTGTAATCGTCTATTGAAATGCATCCGTTCAAAATAATTGAAAATTAAAATAATTTTAACATCACCATTGAAAAATTACAATATTTTCTTGCCAGTCCTTTATGGAAGTGTTTACTATTATTATTATTCTTTATTCTTTATCACTTTATAAAAAGGCATTTTCCTGGAGTGGGGAAGAATTAACTTCAACCACTTCACGTTAATTTTTGTAGTTTTATTGGATATTTAGAAAGCTCCTTACGATTCTCGCAGTGTTCAGCAGTTTTCTTGGCTTCATTTATCAGCCCTATTATTATTATTATTATCATTACTGTTATTAAGACATGCAAATGTATCTTTGAAACCATTTCAATCTGTTTTAAGTGTACGAAAATCGTTCGTTCGTGTAAGACTCCTTCATGAAAAGACCCGTTAATATTTAGACTTCCATATTTTTTAGGATAATTCTCAGAAATGAAACGGTGACCTTGAGGTTTGATTTCTAGATTGTAATTGATCCTGTCGTAATTTTCTTAAAATAAAAAAACAACGTTTTATTTATATGATAATAAAAATAAATTACTTGAAAATGGCAGTTGGGTTATTAGTAATAACTTATTACTGAAGATATAATTCATGATCCTTGCAGAGGAAGATGAACAAAGGCACGAAATTTAAAGATAGAAAGGCTGTTGCATATGAAAGGGGCGGAATCGGATTTGTTAGGATGACGTTAACGAAGAATTTGTTAATTTCACCAGTTACATCGGTGTGAATAAAGATACCAGAACGGCGGGAACTTATGTTACACGTATAATTTTAAATCTCAACTGAAGAAGTTGAAAGAAATCAGGATGATGGTGTAATTGAATAACATGATACACGAAGGGGAATAAGAAATTATTTGCGGTGGAGTCTTGGAATAACCACTCCAACTCTGTTTAATATTGTGAAATGGATGAATCTTTGAAGATCTCCAAAGTAAATCGTAAAAAAAAAAAAATTAATCATCGGTATTTTGAGAGAAGTCAATAAACTGTTAGTGGAAAGAAAAAATCATTCCCCCTATTTGAATACTTCGAAATCACCGATAGGAACTAGGAAATCTATGCTTCCAGTAATTTATAATTAAATTTAAACTTGTTCTTATCTCGATCGGTCAAGACATAGGTAAATCTTAGACGGTAAGCATCGTAAAAAAAAAGAATATTTTAGTTTTTCAACCTTAACCTATTGACATGGACGTCGAGAAGAATAAAACCATTCAAGGTTAATTAATAATTTCTCACTTAAAGCGTTTCTAGAGGTTGAAGAAATAATTATATTTATAATATACTCATATTTCTAGCCAGTATTAAAACTCACTATTTTTTTTTTCAATCAAACCAAATACAATCTAGCATGAAACGTGTTATAATTATACTTTATTTGGTTATTTGCCGTTGTAATTTATATTTTTGGCACAACGGCAACTCTTACATTTTCAATGAAATTAATATTAAAGAGCAAAAATTCAATCTGTTGATGTAGGATGCGCATTAGTATACATTTATTTGATCCTGTTCTTTTCTCTTCTAATGATCGGTGAATTGGCGATACGTTCGGATAGTAACGTGGCGAAACAATTAATCACCGTTCAAAGAGGTAGCGCCACCGTCGTGGCTTTGAGACCAGAGAGTACACCACTTCTCGGTAAGATAGTGCCATCGTCGGCCAATCTCACCATCGTGTATTTGACAGTTTTATCCTCAGTTATCAATCAACTACATGATTTTTCACAACGATGATCGTTTCACAGTTTATGATATACATTATTTATATTCCATCTCGTATATATATATTTATGAAATGTAAATAAATAACAATAAAGACTCAGAACGACTATGACTATCATATTAAACAATAAATGCTGTACACCTATCCGCTTCTCAATCAACGAATATTGAATTCACAAGAACTTCGTAGTTCGTTGAACTCAACCTTCATACCTTC